GGGGGGGGGGGGGGGGGGGGGGGGGGGAGGGGCCCCCTTGTTCTATTTATAAGGGGCCTCTTATGGAGGAGGGGCCCCCTATATTATGAACCCTTATATATATAAGGGGCCCCCTATAGAGGAGGGGGGCCCCCTATATATAAACCCTTTAATAGAGGGGGGCCCCTAAACTATAGGGGCCCCCCTCTATAGGAGGGTACAGCAGGGCCCCCTGGAGGCCCCTTATATATACCTATTATAGGGCTTATCTTAGCAGCAAGAAGAGGGAGGGGGGCCCCTTTAAACAAGAAGAAGGGGGCCCCTTAAACAAGAAGAAGGGGGCCCCTCTAAACAAGGAGAGGGGGCCCCTTCAAAGAAGGATAGGGGGCCCCTTTAAACACGAAGAGGCCCCCTTCTCCTAGTTTAAAGGGGCCCTTTAAAGAAGAAGAGGGGGGCCCCTGCCCCTTTAAAGAAGGAGAGGGGGCCCCTCTAAACAAGGGAGGCCTCTTAATAAGCTGAAGGGGCCCTTGGGGGGCCCCCATCACTTTAAGGGGAGTGAGGGGCCCTTGAGGGCCCCGCTTGAGGTGTATATATTGAGATATCTAAATGTATGTATATGCATATGCATTTTTATTTATATATATCTATATATATAATATATATAATATATATATGCATGTTATGATTATATATGTACATATACCGTGCTGCACTAAAGGGAAGAGGGTAGCAGCAGAGAAGGTGAAGCTGTGATGGTTGCTGCTGCTGCTGCTGCTCCACCTGCTTCTGCTGCAGCAGCTTCGGTTAGCAGCAGCAGGAACAGCACGTACGCCTGCAGGCGTTGGGGGAGTTTCTTTTGGCTGGGCTGTTAGGGCCCTTTGCTGCTCTGCTGCAGCAGCAGCTGCTGCTGTGCCTTCCTCGCTACTATTATGCAGAGGCCCCGCAGCAGCAACAGCAGCAGCAGCAGCAGCTGCTGCAGCAGAGGGAGACTCTTTTGCTTCCCCTGAGCCGTCTTGACAACGAACAAAAGTGTTGCTGCAGCTGCGGAGACAGCAGAGCAGAGCTGCCTGTACACCGCAGGCCGCTAGCGCATGCCAGCAGCAGACACTCACAAAAAGAGCAGTAGTGGCTAGCCAGCTAGCTAGTCATCAGCTAGCTAGCCAGCAAGTTAGCTGCCGAGCCTGCAGCTGCAGGGGCGGCCCTGTGGAGTGCTTAACGGGATAGCTGGCTAGATACGCAGCTAGCTAGATACAGCAGGCTAGCTAGCAGCCAGCTAGACAGGACAAGTTAGCTAGCTAGCTAGCTAGCTAGCTAGATAGCTAGGTAACGCATAGCTAGCTAGCTAGCTAGCTAGCTAGCTAGCTTGCCACCCAAAAGGCGGCACCAGCTAGCTGGTTAAATGGAAGTTCAGCTAGCGGAAGGGCTGCCGAGTCAAGGGGCAAGCGCTTTAAACAGCTGGATAGCTCGCTAGCTAGACAGCTAGCACACAGCTAGCTAGCTAGCTAGCTTGCACACAGCTAGCTAGCTAGCTAGCTATGTGCGGGGTAGGATGTTGGCGGTGACGGTGAGGCGCGCGTAGGGGCTCTTTGATTGACCTCTACAGCTGCTGCCTCTCTTCCCTTAAACGCTGTCTGTCTCTCCCTCCACAAAGGATACGCTGCAGCAGCAGCAGCAGCAGCAGCAGCTAGAGGTCGTGGACCTCAGTAGTTAGCTGAAGGTCTGCCGTCTGCAGCGCTTGCTGCTCGCTGTCTCCTTTGAAGTTAGCGAGAGAAGAAAGAGAGGGGACAATAGATGCTGCACTAGCTGCCGGTTGCATTCCTGTTGCTGCTGGGGGAGCAGCAGCAACAGCAGCAGCTGCTGCTGCAGCAGCTGCAGCAGCAGCAGCAGCAGCAGCAGCAGGTCCCACTCTTGTTGCGCTTGCTCTAGAACTAACCCTAGGCCCACTACCTCCTCTAGGCCTGCCTCTGGGTCTCCCTCTGCTGCTGTTTCTTCTTCCTGCAGCAGCAACACCGTATGCTGCTGCTGCAGCGCCACCCCCTTCAGGTGTATATGCTAAGCAGCCTCCTGCTGCTGTTTGCTGCGGCAGCAAACTAGGAAAGGCCTCATCGAAGTCATCAAGTATATTATTATTATTATTATTAATATTAATATTATTATTATTATTATTATTACTATTATTATTAGGAATTAATATATTGTTATTATTTGCGTTTCTTTCAGATGTCTCCTCTTCTTCTTCTGCTGCCCCAATAACTGTCTCCAAACTTCTTAGTCCCTTTAACCCTTTCAGCCCTCGAGGTATACCCCGGCATGAACGCAGAGCCTGACGAGCTCGCAGCAGCTGCGGGGCCTGTCCCTGCAGCAGCAGCAGCAAGCAGCAGCAGAAGAAGCAGTAAGCAGCAGCAGAAGCAGAAGCAGTACACAGCAGCAGCAACAGCAAAATCAGATACAGCAAATGAAGCCGCAGCAGCAGCAGATACAGCAACCAGCAGCAGCAGCAGCACCACCACCACCACCAACAAGCAAGAGCAGCAAAAGCAGCAGCAGCAGCAACAGCAGCAGCAGGAGGAGGCTTACTGTAGCTGCTGCCCAGCACTGCTCTGTAGCAGCAATAATCTCTTTACATCTGTCTTCTACATGCTTCAAACTGCGCGAAGCGATGCGGAAGAAACTCCGACTGTCTCCGCACGAAAACTTTAACTAAAAGGAGACACATAAAAAGAGACAATCACAATGAAAATAATATCTTATATGTTAAACTATATATATTATATATATTATATATTTTATATATATTATATATATTATATATTTTATATATTATATATATGTGTAGGTCTGATATGGGGAGAGTGGAGACAGAAGAAGAGAAGGGAGACAGAAGAACAGAAAGGAGACAAAAGAAGACAAAAGGAGACAGAAGAATAAAAAGGAGACAGAAGAATAAAAAGGAGATACAAGGAGACAAAGGAGACAGAAGATAAGAAAGGAGACAGAACAATAAAAAGGAGACAGAAGAAGAGAAGGGAGACAGTAGAACCACAAGGAGACAGAAGATAAGAAAGGACACGGAAGATAAGAAAGGAGACAGAAGAAGACGAAGGAGACAGAAGATAAGAAAGGAGACAGAAGAAGGCACAGGAGAAAGAAGAATAAAAAGGAGACAGTAAAACCAAAAGGAGACAGAAGATAAGAAAGGAGACAGAAGATAAGAAAGGAGACAGAGGAATAAAAAGGAGACAGAAGATAAGAAAGGGGACAGAAGAAGACAAAGGAGACAAAAGATAAGAAAGGAGACAGAAGAAGACAAAGGAGAGAGGTGAGAGAATGTTGTAGGTGAAGAGACACACCGCTGCATGCACGAGAGCAAAGGCATTAACCCCTTGTTCATAGAGACCCCACAAAAGGAGACAATCTTCTTCTTTAGTAAATACAGGCGAAGGCCCCAAACCAGCAGGCAGCTTCAAGTCTGTAGGAGAGGAGACATTTCCGCTCAGCAGCTGCTCTTCAACCTGAGATGTACATGCAGCAGCAGCAGCAGCAACAGCAGCAGCAGCAGCATACGATGAAGGATACACCTCAACAGAGCAGCAGCAGCAGCAGCAGCAAACGAAGAAGGAGGCACCAACTCCAGAAAGCAGCAGCAGCAGCAACCGAAGGAGGAGACACCTCGGAGACAAATGAAAGTAAAAGGAGACAAATAAAAAGAAAATGAGGCAGATAAAATAAACGGAGACAAATAAAAGGAGACAAATAAAAGGAGACAAATAAAAAGAGACAAACGAAACAAAAGGAGACAAATAAAATAAAAGGAGACAAGCAAAAGGAGACAAGCAAAAGGAGACAAATAAAACAAAAGGAGACAAACAAAAGGAGACAAACGTACAGTCGCCTGAATCGCTCGGCGCTGGAGGTCGATGGCCCCCCGCAATTCCTCAGCCCTCTCAATTCGCTGCATCATTCTGTCTCCCTGCAGCAGCAGCAGCAGCAGCATAAGCAGCAGCAGCATAAGCAGCAGCAGCAACAACAAGGAGACACAGAGGAAGGCAGAAGGAGACGAAGAAGCAGAGACAGAAACTGTAAGTGGAGAGACAGCAGAACAGACAGACAGACAAAAAAACAGCAGCAAAAGGAGACAGCGGAGACAAACAAACAGCAGCAAAAGGAGACACAAGGAGACTCCTTACCCCCTCAATCTCTGTGTACCGTTTGAAGAAGACATCTGCATATTTACGCAGGTCTTCTACTGTTTTGTTGCTGCTGCTAAAATGCAGCTGCCAGGCCTCCTCTAGACGGTCTCTCCCCAAGTGAATTAAAGCGCTGAGGTGTACAGACACCCAAAACATATATATATATTATATATAATATATAAATATATATATATATGTATATATATATATATATATATACGATATACCTATATTATATATATACACGAACCAGCGGTCTGCATACCGCAGTCAACAGAAACAAATAAATCAATGCTGTTCTGTCGATGGTGCTAAACGCAGCAGTAGCAGCAACAGCAGCAGCAGCAGCTGTAACAACAAGTACAGCCGCAGAAGCAACTACAGCAGCAGCAGCAGCAGCAGCAGCAGCAGCAGCAAACCTGATGAACTTCGTGAACTCCGTTCGGTTCCAGTTCAAGAAACCCTCCGACAGCAATTGCTCCTGCAGCAGCAGCAGCAGCAGCAGCAGCAAAAACTCGTGTGCACTCTCAGAAATGCTGCAGTTGCTGCGCAGCCTCTCTGTGTCCTCCGCCTCATCAGCAGCATAAACAGCAACAGGAAGAGCAGCAACAGCAGCAGCAGCAAGGCGCCGCCAGAAGCCCCCCGGAGACACAAACATCGCAGCAGCAGCACCAAGAAGAGCAGCAGCAGCAAAAGCACACCACCACGACCGCCACATCGCGCGCAGCAGCAGCAACAGCAACAGCAGCAGCAGCAACAGCAGCAGCAGCAACAGCAGCAGCAGCAGCAGGAAGAAGCATACTTTTTGCATCTTCATCTCTGCAGTGAAGGGTTGAGGCCTCTCGGGATCGTCGGGATCGTCTAAAGCGCTCTCTGTGTCTGAGGGCCCCTCCTCTGGCTCTGGGGGCCTTATCTTACGGGGTCTGCCTGCTCGTTTCTTTGGTTGCTGCTGCTCTTGCTGCTGCTGCTCCTGATCCTGCTGCGTGTCCTGCTGCGTGTCCTGCTCCTGCTGCTGCTGCTCCGACAACTCCTGCTGCTCGTGCTTCACCTGCTCGCGCTTCTGCTGCAAGGAGACTGCTAACGGTACACCCTCTCTTGCTGCTGTGTGGCTCTGCATACACCGCAACACGCACATTCTCCTGCTGCTGCTGCTGCTGCTGCTGTTGCTGCTGCTGTTATCACTGGGGAGTTAAGTAGGAAGCGAAGGTAAAGGGATTTGATTGCTACGACTGCTGAGACAAAGTGCAGTTTTCAGGTGTATGCGCACCTCTATGTCTTCCAGCAACTCCTGCAGCAGATGTTCAAGCGGTCTCCCTCCTACTGCCCAGCGGCACTTGCTGCTGCTACTGCTGCTGCTGCTGCTGTTGCTGCTGCTGCTGCTTTCTTTGGACGGCGAGTCTGCTTCTTGCTGCAGCTCTTGTTGCTGCTGCTGCTCTTGCTGCTCCTGCTCTTGCTGCTCCTGCTGCTCCTCCGGAGGCGGCACCAGCAGCTGCAGGAGCAGCTGCAGCGTGTCTCCTGTCTCAGGCTTTATATCTTTACATCCTCGGTGGTTGAGGTATCTGCAAGACGCAAACACGAAGTGTACATACACCGGGCGATGCAGCAGCTAGCTAAGCTAGCTAGGTAATTAGCTAGGTGGCTAGCTAGGGAGGCAGCAGCAGGCAGCAGCAGCGGGGAAGGAGACAAGACAAGAAAGAGAGACTCACGCCTCCAAAACTTTAAGAGCTGTCTTTTGCTGCTGCTCTGTAAGCGAGCGCAAGAGGGGCTCTACACCAGGCTGGGTTGGTGTTGTTATATCTGCTGCTGCAGCAGCAGCAGCATCCTCGCCTGCCTCTTGCAGCAGCTGCTGCAGCAGCGCCTGCGCGTCAATCTTGAACCTCTTTTCAGATCTTCCTTCTTCGCTATGAAGATCATCTCCTTCTAGATTTTGCTGCTGCTGCTGCTGCTGCTGCTGCTGCTGCATCAAACTTTCTTTTTCTTGCTGTCTCCGCTCATGTTTCTGCTGTCTCTTTTTTAATAACCACTCCGCCCACTTGCGCTGTACAGCATCGAGAGCATCTAATCTCTCTGCATTAAAGAACTGAAAATCATAGCCGCCGTTGATCTCTGCTCTCCAGCCAGTCAGCAGTTTGCGAGCAAGACGTCTCTCTTTTCTGATAAGAAATGCGCCTGCTGCTGCTGCACCTTCACCCCTCCACTTCGTCTTACGGTCTCCTAAATCTAATAATAATGTAGGCCTCACTGTCTTAGCACCTTTCTTACGTCCAGGCTTCCCAGGGGGTTGAGGGCCCCCTTCACTACCGTACATATGCAGCCCTCCGTCGAGCGATATATTCGACAAATCAAACTTTGATTCCAGACTAAAACAATCACAAACAATAACAGCAGCACCAGCAGCAGCAGCAGGGGTTGCAGCACCAGCAGCAGGGGTTGCAGCAGCAGCAGCAGGGGTTGCAGCAGGAAGTGCAGCGAGAGAAACAGCGCAGACAGCAGCAACAGAAAAAGAAATCGCAAAAACAAAACAACAGCACCAAGAGCAATTACCAGCAGCAGCAGCAGCAGCAGCAGCAGCAGCAAATGCACTATTTGGGGATTTGTGTGGGGTTGGGGTTGTGGTGTTGCTGTTTGTGTAAATTTGTGTCTCTTTGTCTGTCTCTTGCTGTCTCTTATCTTTCCTGTCTCTCCCTCTCTGTCTCTTTGTGTCTCCTTCTGTCTCCTCCAGTTGTCTGCTGCTGTCTCCTACTGTTCTTGTTGGTGTAGATATTAGAGTTGTATATGAGAGTTGTTAGTGTCTCCTTTTTAAAGGTATATTCTTTTAAAAACTGTCTCCTTTTAAAGGTGTCTCCTTTTGGTGTATATGTGTGTCTTGTCGGTGTCTCCTCCTAAAACTGTCTCCTTTTTAAAAGTATATCCTTTTAAAGGTGTCTCCTTTTGGGGTGTGCATATGTGTCTTGTTGGTGTCTCCTTTTAAAGGTGTCTCCTTATAAAGGTGTCTCCTTTTAAAGGTGTCTCCTTTTAAAGGTGTCTCCTTATGAAAGTGTCTCCTTTTAAAGGTGTCTCCTTTTGGGGTGTATATATGTGGGGTGTTGCAAATGAATACCTTTGAAGTTGTGCTTCGATTTCTGCAGTGCGTTGTTCAGCATCTGCGAGGATAATATCAATATCTGCATCTGTAATGCTGCTTTCTTCTTGAGTCCTATATACTTCTTGAGCACCAAATTGAAGTATTTCTTGTAGCTCAGACGCCTGGGGCCCCTGCTGCTGCTGCTGGGGGCCCCTTTGGCTTAATCGTCCCTTCTGAATTACTAAAGAATCTAGCTTTAATTTTTTTGCTGCTCTCTCTACTATACGCTCCTCAACTGTACTCCCTGTTACAAATCGATACACCACCACCTTCACAAAAACAAACACAAACACACAAATATTTAAATTCAAAGGATATCAATAGAATTAAAGGGGATGAATACTCATAAAAAGGAGACAGATAGCTTTAAAAGGAGACAGATAGCTTTAAAAGGAGACAGATAGCTTTAAAAGGAGACAGATAGCTTTAAAACGATATAAAAGCACCTTCAAACAAACACAAACACAAATATTAAAATTCAAATGATAATAAATATCAATTAAAGGAGACAGCAAGACAAGGCAGGAGGAGACAAGGAGACAGCAAGACAAGACAAAAGGAGACAGTAAGACAACAAGACAAAAGGAGACACTAAGACAACAAGACAAGACAAAAGGAGACAGTAAGACAAGACAAAAGGGGGCAGCATGACAACAAGACAAGACAAATGGAGACAGTAAGACAACAAGACAAGACAAAAGGAGATAGTAAGACAAGACAAGACAAAAGGAGACAGCAAGACAACAAGACAAGACAAATGGAGACAGCAAGACAACAAGACAAAAGGAGACAGTAAGACAACAAGACAAAAGGAGACAGTAGGAGAGGGTATAGAGACCTTTTTCTTTTGCCCAATTCTGTGTGCTCTATCCATTGCTTGCAAATCCATCTGCGGATTGAAGTCGGAGTCAAACAAAATAACAACGTCTGCTGTAGCTAAGTTTATCCCGAGGCCTCCTGCGCGAGTTGACAAGAGAAATAGAAACTTGTCGCTCCCTTCTCTATTAAAGTCGTCGATCTTCTGCTGTCTCTCCTCTCCAGGAGTCGAACCGTCTATGCGGCAGTACGCGTGTCCTCGCCACCTGCAGCAGCAGCAGCAGCAGCAGCAGCAGCAATAACAGCAGCAGCAGGGATTACAGCAGCAGAAGCAACACGCATGCACAGCTCGCGCTGCTAGATTCTGTAGCAGCAACCAATAGCTTATGCAACAGATCCGAGTTAGCAGCAGCAGTAGCTACAGGTGAAGCAGCAGCAGCAGCCGGCGGGTGCTTGGGTAGGCAGCTAGCCAGCTAGTTAGCTAGCCAATCCTCCAGTTAGTTAGCTAGCTAACTACCCACCCCAGCTAGCTAGCTAGCTAGCTGTGTATCTAGCTCTTTGTATAGCTATCTCCCTCTGTGTAGCTCTCTCTCTATCTCTCTCTCTTTCTCTGTAACTACCTCTCTGGATAGCTCGCTAGCTAGCTAGCTACCCAGGTAGCTAGCTAGCTAGCTAGTAAGCTATGTAGGTATGCGTTTGCGTACCTGCAGTAGTCATCGACGATATCTAGGAGCCTCGTCATTTGGCTGAAGAGAAGAACTCTGCTGCCCTCTGCTTTTAGTCTAGGAAGGAGACGGTCTAACAGATGCATCTTCCCTGCGGCTTCAACTAAATGATAGCCTTCAACATAGGGGGGCCCAGGCTCAACACCGTCGAAGAGATAAGGATGGTTACAGCACTTGCGCAGCTGCATTAATATATTCAGCATCTGAGTCTTGCTGCTAGACATCAAACTCAACACCTCCAAATTCTTTGATAAGATGTCCGCGTACAGCTTCTTCTGTAACTTTGACATACCTACACAACCAGCCACCAGCAGCAATTGTAGCAGCAGCAGCAGCAGCAATTGTAGCAGCAGCAGCAGCAATAGTTGCAGCAGCAGCAATAGTTGCAGCAGCAGCAATAGTAGCAGCAGCAGCAAATGTGCAGCAAAGAACAGCAAGCAATAACAGCACTTCAAGGAAGGTAAACAGATATAGCTGCAACACCAGCAGCAGCAGTAGAGGTAGAAGCAACTGCAGCAGAAGCTGTAATAACAACAGCAGCAGATAATGCATCGGCAGCAGAAGCAGCAACAACAGAAACAGCAGCAACAGCAGAAATAGCAGCACCAGCAACCGCAGAAATAGCAGCACCAGCAGAAGCAGCAGCAGCACCAGCACCGCCAGCAGCAACAGCAGCAGCAGCAGCAGCACCGCCAGCAGCACCAGCACCGCCAGCAGCAACAGCAGCAGCAACAGCAGCACCGCCAGCAGCAACAGCAGCAGCAACAGGAGCAGCAGCAGCAAC